GTGAGGGCCGAAAGAAGGAATGAGGAAGTCAGAATAAGTCTGGACAAAGCTGAAGCCGGCTCGTAGACGGGTATGCACTATAGGCCACCTCAACTCCAAATTAGGCTGTAACGGATGTAGAGAGGAGGGACATTGGTCGCGGACAGTTCGAGCCTCGCGCGAAAGTGGACGAGAATTGATGCAATGAAAGGCAGTCAGGAAGGAATGTTATGACTGACAGCAAGGTCAGCAGACGACCAGGATATGCTAAAAGCCCTTTGGGGCTTGTGTACAACCACCACTTTATCCGCCTCAGATTTACCCACTTTATGCTATTCAACCCACAATAGTCTACCGGAACACACTGACTTAACGACCAGCAAAAAATTAGATAGGCCGTAAATAAGCGTGTGTGCTGGATGACATAAGTTCTGACGTGTACGCAGTACCATAGAGTATGTGCTGAGCTTAAAGATGAAACGAGAGGGTCAGAAAAGAAGGCTGAAGATAACGCATTTTTTGTTATCATTATTAAAACCGCGTTCCATTGCTGTCAAATCCTACGAACCACAGTTCCCTATACCTTGTCATTACGTTGCATTTGGAAGCTTCGCTTTCCGCCTGGAGTGACTCTAGTGAGCCCCGTGCGCGAATTCAAAGAAAATCAGCAGGCTTAAACCAGTAAGCATGCGTTACTTGCCACTGAGAAATCCCTCCAGTAAGAAGGTTAGTCCGACGTCCTAATGCTAGAATATGTTAGGCCGTAGAAGGGCAGCGGACAACGAAACTAGCCTGATGTTCGTTAAGGCACATGCTAGTCGATCTGGCTGCTAACCGAATAACCTTGTCTCGGCTACGTCATCTATGACAGCAACGTCCAGGCTCCCTGCTCGCCTTGCCCATGGGATAGGAAAGGCATCATGCAGCTAGGTCTCTGCCTCCATTCGGTAAGACTGTGGAAAGTCACAAAAATAGTAGCAGTTCATAGGACGTCCATCCTTCCAATATGACCACTGTAGGTGGAATCACATCCGCTATTGTCGAGTGGACGCCGATGTTATTGGGGTAAGCCGTAGAAAAGAAATGTGACGTAACTAGCTATATAGTAATGGCGCACCAATGCGGTTTCTACGTTGCTGCTTCGTAGTTTCATTTGGCCGCTAGAATACAACCCAACATCCTTGTATCTCTGGATAGAAAGGAAATTTTAACTTGACGGATATAAGAGTCAGGAGATCAATGCGAACAGAAGGACAGTTTTCTCTGGTCTGGTCCAGTGGTCACTCGCACTTACGACACTTCTGATGAAGCAGCTTTGGCACACAGGTGCGTCTACTTTTGGTTAATCCCAATCGACGACCCGGCCAACCAGGTTGTTGCTATGTTTGCTGCTTCTGTCGTTACCGCTGGATGCGCGCCACAACGTGAACCACTTTTGGGTTTCCTCTGGTTAGCTTTTGGATCGCTGTAGAATCGATTGGTCGCGCCACGACTATTGAAACAGGAAAGATAGGACAACGGCGACTAGAGCTACGTAGATGAGCATGCAGATACGTCAACGTTAAAATCACATCCAAATTGGAATAGAACTGAGCTAAGATCTTTTATTTGAGCAGAGTGTTTATTTGATACTGTATGCGATTGGTAAACTTTTACAGAAACAGGCCAGACTATAAAAAAAAAAACACTCTTAACCTATCCCCTCATAAACATCATCGTTTCTTTAATAGGGCATTAACCCAAACAGTAGCAAGGAGTTTTAGCAGACGACCTATCGCTAGCATTACGAGGCTAGTAGCTCAAGCGAACCTTATGTTCCTTGAAGTTTAAAAACTTACTATAATGGGGAGAATTTATATTTCTTCACAGCAGTATTTCAATATTTAACTTTATCTAGGTTTTGCTCACAACTGGGGCTTTCTTTGATTGTGAAGGTCGATCCCTGCCGTTGGAATGCTGCCGATTAAATATGAAAAATTTTCTTCTAGTACGCAAAAGAGCTAATGATGTATATAAATAGCTTCAGCCTTTGTACGGGAGAAGGGACGCTTAATTAAGATATGTTTTCGGTTTGTGTATGTAGGACTTAATATGCTTAGTTTAGAAGGACTAGTTAAGAACAATATCCGTTTCCTTAGGTTAGTGAAGTCGAGCCTTAGACAGCCGAACAGTGATCCAGAATCTCGATACCGTTAAGACTAGTGGAAACTGAAAGCTATACTAGAATAGAACATACAGATAAGGAATTTGCGCTTTCGCGGTACTTACTACCGGAGGTTCTATATCCTATTTCTCGTTGGGTCGTCAATTCAGTGGAAAGAATGGCTCCGCAGTACGTACGTGGAATCTATAAGCCTCAGTTAATGCATGGTATGAGCCACAAACCATGCTAAGTGAGAGAAGGAAAATCGGATAATAACCGTAGGAGATCCGACCTACTTTGCAGGCTGAATGTGAAAGCCCGGTGGGCATATGAAAGTAAGCCTTATCTAATTTGCATATAAGTTGTTGACACCCAAATAGGAAAAATTACAAGGACGGGTTTGTGTTTTTAACAGGGGCTATACATAACTATATTCAAGTTGTATATTGTCTAAATTCAAGCACGTGACTCCGATTATTAATTAAGCGAACTTTTGAATAAATCTGAAAAGCGTTTGAAATACTCACAGATAATAAATAAATAAATAAAAATAGTATTTTAAAGAGATAAATTAGCAATTCATGATGATACAATTTAGTGTTTATCGTAACCCGTAGAAGTTTTATTGTGATTACGTGGCGTGTAGCTTAAAATCGTGTCACGGCTCATAGCTCCTTTAATATACATCAGAGAACATGAAGCTTTTCGACCGTACTTATGGCGAACACCTCATCACGAAGTGTACAGATAATGTGCCCATTATATTTATCATTAGTTACCACTTCTATCAATTCAAGTTATCAATTCAATGTCAACCATGTACGGTATCATAAAGTTTGCTACTTACAGTGTTACTTATAAAAATAATTCTGAGCTACACAACGAACAAGTATATTGCAACTTCACAGAATTTGGATTCGAAATATATAAAGAGACTATTTAAATATACTGCTGCTATATTTGACGAATTACCCAATTATATGCTTCGGGAACCAAGGATTTTTGATTAATAACAAGATATTTTACTGCTCAATATTTGTTCACGATGTAATTTTGCCGCCCCAATCAAATCAGAAGGAAATGGGCAAAAATGGGCTGTAACATGGTTTACGTGCAGCTCCGAAGGCGTTATGTTGGTTGAGCTCTATTTGTTGATTCAGCAAATTCTTAAATTTTCAAAGTGTTTCCCACTACAAAGCTAAATAAGGTAAAAAGAAATAAAGCTCAAAGAAATTTCGTTACAAATCAGTCCTCTGTCATTGATTTCAGCTTCGTTTGTTTGAGTAAATTAGCGTTACGCAAACGATGAGATACATTCGTTGAAGGCAGCAGCACCATAGTAGTAGTAATAGTAGCAGTGGTCGTAATGCCAGCACAAACGGTAATCGTACTAATAAAAGGTTGAAACTAAAAAGCCGTTTTCTTTTATACAGATGAAAAAATTCGATGATAAGAAGTTGGCGAAAGGCTGCTTGTACCATCCCACTGCAGCTAGAACGATTGTAGTATTGATGCGCCGCGGCATAGCGGTGTGATAATGGCTCACCCTTACTATCCAGACAATTGAAAAGAATCGCAAAGGAGGAGATAACCGTCTTTGTCGGAAGCCAACGCAGCTCAGTTAGGGCAGAGGGAATCGGGAGGAGGAGGTCAACGCCAAGAAGCAAATTGAAGCCAGAATAGAAAAGCGTGGAGATAGATAAGCTGAGTGAAGAGGTGATGTTAGCAGCATCAACGAAGCTAACTCTCACGTCATCGACAGTAGCAACGGCAGCAGAGTGAATTCGGTGGCTGACGCTACTGGACGATGGCGATCGTGGTGAAAGCAGCGGCTTACCGAGTCGCGGACTCTGTTACACGGCTGTCTCTACTCTGGAGTTCACCTCTATCTCGTGCAAAGGAAAACCCTCAATAATCCAGTGATCACTCAACAACCGCTGCAACAACAACAAAGCATTCGGTCGTGTATTGAATCCGATGCTACACCATGCCCTAAAGCTAGATTTCTATAGTTCTGCTACGAGAAATCGTTGATGAAACCTATATGGCTCGTTCTACATACACACACACGCATAATGTTATTACGCATAGACAGTGAAAGATTCTGGGGAACAAGACAACGTGTCTACAGTTGCCTCCGCCAATTCAGCAAACAGAAGAGAAGAAACGAAGAGCGTGACTTCATCAATCAGGAGGACTTCCGGGGATGGAAACACGTGGCGTGGGAAGTTACATAATGATGAATGTTTTGACTCGTCATGGGTGGCATAGAGCAGCAGTCTATGGAGGAGCGTCCTATGGCCGTGGCAGCCATGTCGTCTTGTTTGTATATCGCTTTTCAAGTATTACCTGCTCGTGCACCTAAGTGCCCAGACGTGCCTGAGAATAGGTAGCGCGTTCCTTTGGCTGAATGGATACATACGTTAACCAAATGATCAACTGTAGAATTGTTGTGAATGTATTTAGTCTCTCACGTATCCGTATCTAGATGCAAATGCCTTGAGTTTAGTCCTATCATGTTTTGTGTGTATGTGTATGTGTGTAAGTCATACGTCGCCGCATATGATTCACTACGGTACTACACGATATCACATTGAATTACTATGTTAATTCCGAATGATGGGGAAAAAAACATGCTGGCGTCAGTTCTAGATAATAATTCGAAATAGGTTCCACCGTCATCTCAAACATGACCGCGCAGTGATAAACGGTATCGAAATCACTCTGCTAAAGGATGGCATTTTGCGAAGAAAGAACGCCTTATCTAACATAAATACACATTTACAGGTATTGTGAGCACCAATAAAATTTTTTTCAAATTGCCACTCTAACAAAAACCATCATCACTCGTGTTATTTTTATCACGTCACTTACTCACCTGCCGAAGATGACGTATTTTCCCGTCATATTTAGTCGCGCAGTGGCATTGATCAAATGGTGAACGGTAAATCCTTCACAGAAACACACAATCACCTATAATCGAAACGAGGAGAGTCTTAGCTTTTTACAATAATAATAACAGGTATTCAGATTTGATCACATCTATTATTAGTTTTTTAAAAAATACGCTTACGTTTCCCGTTACAATTCCAAATTCTCTGTAATGTTTAACCACCGGCGAGCTATAAGTTAAGCAAGAGAAATGATTCAATCCAAATATGGAAACGCTTATTCTATAAATATTACTTTTTTAATATTTGAGCATTATCGAAATGTCTATCGTGTATTGTGTTGCACGAGAAATAATGCCATATCCATATATCGTACATCATGAAACACATCTACTTGCTTCGACAGCGGAAATTATCAACTAATAAGAACGCACTGAGGGTTACTGGAAAGCCGCGAAGGAGTTTTAGTCTAAACAGGTTCGAGCTGACCTATTTCCCAAGGCAGCACAAAACGGACGGGTGACGACAGCGCAGACTATGTCGGCAACAGATTATATGAGATAAGGACTCGCAGATATTGTGGCGAACAAATAACGAATTATCTGCGTCTAATCTAGGTAGAGGGCCCCCGATATGGCAATATAACTGCAAGGTACAATGACGCCAGCGTAATTGCTGAGGTTGGATGAAGCCGCATATTGCTGAGCACCACCACTGCTGCATCAGATCGGGACGCATAATGCTCCCCGATAGGGATCTTTTATTAACTTATTATAGCTTCTACAGAACACAGTCGAACTTGATCCAGTTAATACAACTCATTGAAGTTCTTCATCTTGAAGAAGAAATATCTTACACTCATTATGCACAGTTTATTTAAAGTATAGTGACTATTCATTACTTAGCGTGACACTTCTCGATGTTTTATTTGAGACAAAAGCCACTGAATTCATTCAATGTAATGTTCCGTCTATAATGAGGCCCAGACTCGTGTGCATAGGTTATTTAAGTGCACACTAACTAAGCGTTTGGATATGTAAATTTCTATTCATACCAAAAAGCTGTATTAGGGTATAGCAAGATTATATAGAAGATATGGAAACAACCGGGTTGGAAAGCCTTCAAATTGTCTATAATGGTCATCCTTCTTAAGTATTCTCTCGTAATGAGTATACTGATTCTAAAGGAAGAAATACTAACGTCGTTTTTCTCTTCACATAAATAGTTAAATATGTATGTTATACTCGTGTAAATTAAGACAAAACTGAACATACCTTGGCGGAAGGGAACTCAGATAGCGAGTACAGAAGATTGTCGTATTCCTCTGGCTCTGCGTTGTGGCCTAACGTGTCCTGAGTGGCCACACAAATGCCTGCCTCTTTGGCACGAGTTGCAAACACCTCCATTCCGCTGTGACCGTAATTACCTGCCATATTATGAAGCACAGTTAAGACGATTAGACTGATGGACATACTACGAGAAGGTTTCAGTGCTTAATATTATTTAATCGATGCTTTTGTTGAGTCATCAAGTGCCAGTGCATGTTACTAAGTTATTGAGGAAATGCTTAGGGCTTTTAGGTCCTTTTTTGTGCTATTTTTTCTTTGTTTCTCTTTTTTTTTGTAATATTATGGATGTGAACCTCTGTCGTACACGTCTGAAGCGTTACTGAATTGGTGTCAATAAAACATGAGTATCGCGTTTGAATTTTCGGAAATTTACATAACAACCTCTTATGCCTACTCTATAGAAAAAAATCGCCTATTTTTCACAAAAGTTCCTCAAGTACTTCAATAAGCTGAATCTACCAAGTCGAGAGATAGGTACATGCGCGGCCGTCCCAAACTACTTACGTTAGTTCCTAACTAGTTAGGTTACCTACTAGTTAATTAGAGATTGGCAAAGCTGCACGTATTTAGGCAGCTTTATATTTAGTTCTGCGATTGCTAAATCTTCGACTCTTACTGTTTACTACCCTGTATAACAGAACACCCCATTCACCAGTAATGAAACGGATCTCATTCGATGCGTAGTCCGACTTAGCATTAAACAACACAAAATCGGACCTGTTTTCGCGTATATTCATTATTGCAACCGTTTAACAGCGGCAGGATCGTTAACATTGCGATATATTTGTGGAAGCTAGCGTGAACCCAGGGACTGGCAAAAGAAACACGTTCGCGCGCCACGAGTTGTGACTCAATGTGTCGTCCAATCTAGTACCGGGTGATTTGGCTGAGAGCCACGGAAGAGATCAATAGAAGCATGGGGAATGGACCGAGATGGCAAAGTTAGAAGAAATAGGAGATTGACTGTAAAATGCTTAGCCAAATTTTGCTCCTTTCCTTCTAAACTGCTCTTCGGCAATGGCTATGCTCGTCGGTTATTCGAATCGACGGAAAAGTCGTCATGCCATGCCAGGCCAAAAGGAGTAACAAGAATCAGCGCCCCCGACGACAACGACCACAGCAGTGGCATATGGTACGGGCGGAATAAAGAAGCATTAGTGGCGGTAGTAGCACTAGTAACGGCGATGCAGAAACAGACCAGAAGAAGAAAGGTCTGTTGATAAAGAGGAGAATGAACAGGATGGAACATGTCAACGGGCACCGTCCTCTTTAGCCGTTACTACTTCCACTGAGCCCGGCAGCGGTAGTAGCAACCGTACCATAACAAGCATACTTTTGTTGCCAAAGAAAAAAGGCTGGAATCGGGATGGGAGAAGGTGGTTGGGAGGGTGAAAACCGGCGAGTGAATGTGGTCCGAAGGTAAACAAAGCAAACATGAGCAAAAGAAAAAGTCAGCCAAGCGAAAAGTCAACGGTCTGCTTAAGGGCATCGGCGAGGGAGTAGTTAGAGCTGGGTCGTGGCCTCGGCATCGCCACCGACATTACGGACGTGTGTAACATGCCGTAAGAAAAGGACATACGAATAAAGAAAAAAATGTCGACACGTTGTTGGTAATCGCGCACATATGAAGAAGAACAAAGCGAATCAGGAAAAGGGAAACGAAGTTATTTTTTATTTGCGGCAATAAGGGAACAACGCAAGAATGTAGAATTCAGCGGACTCGAGGAGAGGACACTCCACTGCATCAATTCGTTTAGCTCTCTGCTTACCTCTATCACCACTCTTCGTCCATTAGTTTCCCACTTTGAGTTCATCTTGGAATCCTATAGCCCCATTCCTTTTGAGCGCTGCTCTTTTGACTGTTCTGTATCTGCTCTTTTCCTCCATAGTCCAGTCGTCCAGTATCTCTTCTATATACAAAAAAGACAAGACATAGAAGTGGCACCAGTTTCTTTGTAGCCCAGCCTAAACCTAGATATGAGTGCCTGTATGTGGATGTGAGTGCAGGTAAGTGGCGGAGCATGTGAGGCGCAAAATCGAAAGGATGCAGCAATGAAACAGAGTAAAGAAAAGTGCTCACTCACAACAAGCCACAGATAAAGACCAGAAGAAACGAAAAACAGACAAGCTGGCTGCCAATCTTTGTGAGGCTCTATTCGTTTGCTTAGCGAAGTAGCCGGCAGTAGCAATGGCGGAAAGTACAGCGGTGGATGCAGGCATGCGAAGACTGTAGCTTTGCACAGCTTTCCGGTACGCCTGTGTTCGCTCACAAAATCAGATACCAAGCACCTTCAGAAGACAAACTATTGCTATACGCCTAATGTTGGACTCCGTTACGTCGCTGTCTTGTTGCGACGACAGCGCTTTCTCGTCGTAATGTGGTTGTTCTACCCTCGGGATAGTATTTCATGGTACGGATGCTACGAGAAATAGTTTGGTTTGTCAGGTACCGCAAAGTTCGTAAAGAAACAAACGTGTATTGGCATCTTTATTCGAGCTAGACCACCACTCTCTCAGCTGTCAGCCCCGCGTCTGATCCCGCTACTCTTACAGTTATCTAAAAATGCGAGAGCTTGCATTGGACGTTGCATGCTGTTTCCCGTTCTCTTAGTGTTACTAGAGTTGACTTCTACTATGCCTATGAGATAGCCTTTGCAGCGGCAACTGATAGAAGGGAATACAGCAAACAAGTATAGGAGAACATAAACGAAATATATATAGAGGCTGCACTGTCCGTGATGGAAGAAAACTAAAGAATCTTCATTTTCTATTGTTTCACCTACTTTATACAGCCCTGTACGATCTTGTAGGATAATGCAGCAGCAACAGCAACGGGAAAAGCAGCCTCCTCTCCGCCGTGTGTTTCCCCATATTTAGCGTCCCTGCCTGTATATATGTCATGTGGTAGGTATATGTCCATACCGCGTTTTCTGCTACGTAAGCGCCAGTGCAAAAGCATGCTATTCCGTTTGTATGCGAATAAGAACAGGCCTGCCGTTCGCGAACTGTCGCTTGGGTCGAAATCGTGCGTATCGCATTCGTATGCGCGTTCAGCCATCCGTGTTTGTCTGTGTGCATATAAAGATGCAACCCTGTAAGAATATGAATTGTTTTTGTGAGCTGATTCTCGTAGCGGCGGCGGCGGCAGCGGCAGCACTGCTGAAGACGGCCGATAAAAGTCAAAATAGTCAAATGTATTTTTATTTACAGCTTTCGTATGCAAGCTGCTCTCTGCCACTTGGCCAGCGGCAAGGATCTGAGGGAAAATTTGCGCACGTTGGTCGATAAGCACGTCGATACACGCACGCGCTCTTAGTCTTATGTATTCATAGGCTTTTTGATAGGGAGAACCGCATTAGCTGCATTCTCAGTAGAAGGGTAAAAGGAAACAGTTCGCTGTTAGCTTCGTCGCTGTCGCCAGTGCATTGTGTACGAATATACCAGTGAAAACGTGTGTATGTCTACGTGCTTGTATTTGTGGACGACATATATCTATGTTGACAGTGTGTGTCTAGCATCGATTCGAGACAACAGGAGGCACTGGTAGAACAGAGGTACAATGGTAACCGCTGTTGAATTGCTGGCATATTACCGTTGGCGTTGGCCGTATTCGTTCAGGGCTGGCGAACGACAGCAAATGGTATGCGTTAACGAGGTAAATGGAATACCCTTCCGGCTTTCTGGCTTGATCCGCCTAAATCGCTACCTAGATACATTATCACGGAATATAACGACACAGTTGCTTACTAACGCTGAATAAACAGAGGCATGCTTACACTACGGGTGGGATGCTGAAGCGAACAGGTCCTGAAATCGCGCGTTGGCCTGTGATCAGCATACGAGGAGGGGTAGTGGAAGGCAGCTATAGGGACCAGCGGTTGTCCAGTGCGTACACAGAGAATACGAAAAATACACAGGAAATTTTGTATGCTTTTGCGACCGCTGCTGTTACACTGTGGGCGACGATAATGTGATTGTTTAGTGTTGCATATGTATTTAATATTATTAGTAAAATATTTAATATTGTTAAATAATATAATATCAAGAAGTTAGCCACCACCAAAATAGCCGAATATCGTTTTGCGCTGCACGAGCACAAACAGAATTAGCAACAATTAAAAAAAATTGCTAATTTCCTAAAGAAACACTGAAATTTTCTTATGGGTTTTACGCGAAGCTTCTAAAACACAATTAGCACTATTGGAACAATGCTGTAGATCTCTTTTTTGGAGAAATTGCTTTCATTACTGTTTCAGTCGGTCAGGCCATTGGAGAAGTAACCCCGTTGTACGGCTGAAGCGTCCGCGGCGCGTCAAGTTCTTGACATGGTGTCCCTCTATAGCTTTGTTTCATCGAGTCATTTTTCAGGCTCATATTTGTTTTTAATGGCTCCAGTGCGGTCTAGGCAGCATCGGTCTACGCTTGCGGAGTCCACTGACCTATGAACGTAAAGGCGTCGAGGGCGGCATTTAGGGAAGACGCTTAAGACGCACCCTAAGCAGATCGCGTTAATGCTAGCGGATCGACTAATAAGCGTTACGAGACCGTTAGTCGACAACCAGTTCCCGACGACAAAAGTCTGTGATCTTCATTATAGAATGGAATAAGTGGTAATGAGATCAATGGCCTTTCCACCAAGCGCTATTAAGTGAATAGCCGCTGAGAGTTCCTATGCGTACCACCGATGTCGCTGCGCTTCAACCTGCATTCGTCGCATACATCATCCTTTCTCAGAGAGCTATATCCGGCTGCACGGTATGAGCAACCTCGGTAGGCGTGTGCACGTCTTGCTGGTCCTTCTGTCCGGAAACGGCTGTCATTCGTTGATTGTGGTGGTCAGTCGGAGATCGAAAATGAATTGTGACATATATAAGAAGAATACGGGTATGCCCCACGGCCATACCAACCGACAAGCAAAAAGAAGTTTGGAACAAGAGTCAAAAGCAACTCGGCCAGCGTTGCCTGCATGAAATGGACGGATACCCATTTGGCAGCTTCCTTTTTTCACGCTACTTTTTTCTTTTATAGTTTCCCATTCTGGCCGTCTATCCTTTCCCGGCATCAATAGAGAAATCCG